ACACGTTACCGACGTAGTACTACTACTCGTAGTACCGTTACGGTACGTACTACTATTAGTTACTATATGTAGAGTACGTAGGTCGTATACTACTACTTCCTACTATATATATATATATATATATATATATATATATATATATAAGGATCCACTTATACTCAAATCCGATATAAAGTACTATCTGGATCAAATCCAAATCTTGGATCCATACCTCGATCCATATAAGGTCCAAAATTTGGGTTCAAATCCATACTGGGTAAATTATCAGCCTTAGTGAAAGAGCCATATGAGTTCAACGGCCAAATCATTTCATCCTTCTTGCTGGGGTTAAAAAACAAACTGTTTTGGATCAATATGAGTTGAAGTCATTTCATTGTTGTAAGTCTAACCTATTATTTTGAAGATATGGACTATCTTTCGATCGGGAATTCATTCGAAGACTAGTTCTGCCAATTTCAATATATTTGATATGAGATGCACCAATTTTAATAGGAAAAGTATATAATAAGATCATTTATATTTGGTACGAGTTAGTCACAAGTAATCTTGACCATTAGATGTGAAATTGGGTGGCTACATTTATTGCATTGACCAAGCTCAAAGTTCAAAAGAAAATTCACAAACTTTGTGACAAATCCAAGCTATCTGATTTCACATCAGATGGCTATAAGTAATTGTGACCTCCTTGTATAAAAAATAAATGGTCATGTTATATACAATCTCATTTCAATAATATGATGTGAGATGTATGTAAACGTAAATTGGAATAAAAAACACAGAAATGTTGGACCTCCCTGTAAAATTTATAAAAATATGGACCAAATATTTTTGCAATAGAATTATCGACTATATACAAATTTTTCTCATTGTAATAATACATTGCCTTTATATGTAAAAATAAATCCAAAAAAATACTTAAACTTGTTCTATTCTTATATTAAAGGAAAAAGCTACTCACCAAAAATATATATATTTATATAGGGTGGCAACCTTGCTTGTAGATGGTTCCACTAATCTACACTATCCAACTTGGTTTGATGGTTTAGATTTGTTATTGTCTTCAAAAATATGTCAAATCTACACCCTCTAACTAAATACACACTGCAAAACGCTATAACCATGCTTCTATAATACGGCAGAATTAAGGTTGGCCCCTATAACTATATCTTATATGAAATATTAACCCACCTCTAAGCCAACAAATAGCATCCATAAAGTAATACATGATAACACAAAGAACCGACTCGTGAATTCTTGCATGAAGTTACATGGTCCGCATAAAGTTGATGTTCTAAAATGTAGATCGGCTGGCTTGATTGGATATCTGCTGGGCCAAACAAGATTAATGAACTAAGCCGGATCAGACCAACTATTCAAAGTAGGAATCGGTCCAAAAAAAATAAATAAATTTGAAAATAATAAAAATAGAAAATTACAATAATAACAAAATGGATGGGAACCAAGAGATTTAGTTCCAAAACTTCGAGGCATTGGTTAGTTGTTGCCAGCTCACCTTGATTATGCGTAGTAGTTTTCAATTAGAAATGTGGACTTAAAAAGAATTTATAAAGAAAATTCTGGATAATTGAATTGGAAAAAGTTTATAGAGGTGCGAGGCATTAAACAATCAAATTAGGGTGCACCTCAAAAATTTCACTAAAAGAGGTTGTTTTTATGCCCAAATATCCTCAAATTGGTCATCTCAACCTCAAGATGTATGGATATGAGAAAAAAATAGATTTCAAGTTTTGAAAGTAGTGCATCTTGTAATGCATTTTTGCATCATCGATTTTCAAGTTTTCATAGGTCTACTCGATCTACACTATTTTTGAAGCTTTAAAATGTATAATTCGAGATAAAAATATATTTTAAAGCTATCATAAAGATTTCCAGTATTGAAACCACATTTCTCAACACTCTTTGAAGGTGTGTTTTATTTTGATTGTTTAGACATATCTTTGGCTTTCCATCATATCTTTGGCTTTTAGAGCTTAGGTAGGTTATGAAGGGAAGGCTTTAACTTGATGGTTATTTTTGCTTTTCGTCGGCTTTTTTTGCTCTTATTCATTTTTGATCGACTTCTAGTTTCGGCAATCCTCTAATATTATGAATTTAGACTTCTTATGATACGAGATAGTGTATTATTTATGAGGCCCAATTCAACTTTTTATTTTAGATAATTCTTAAAAATTTTAAAAAGAGGGGAGATTTTTTGAAAGGGATTGATGGCAGTTTTTAAAAACAACTAAAGTTTTGACAGACCGCTCGCTTAAATTTTAAAGTTCCAAATAAAGGCTGACCCGGAATAGTTTAAAACTAAAGATTTAGGAAACTTTGAAAAGAAAATTGAATATTTTTTTAGAAAAAAAGGGTTTGAATTTTTTTTTGGAGAAGGCAAGTCTCACGGTTTAACTACATGTGACCCGTAGGTAGGGAATTGTTTTTCTCTTTATTTATTTATTTATTTATTTATTTATTTATTTATTTTTATGGTTTGTTTTAGTATTTTTTTTATTTATTTAGGAGCCTCTTATCTACCCGCGTCTATCTTGAAGCTAAATTCAGGAAAAACAGCCTTGCCCCTTATGTATTATTTAAGAGGAATTTTAGGATTAAGTTGGCTAATTTATGAGTTGAGCTAGACCTTGCCACGACTTTGGGGACCACAAATATTTGAGTATTCTCTAGTTCTCTTTCAGTACTCATGTCGTAATACCATGCTTAGGAGAATGTCGATGCCACCCCTCATGCACAGGATTTCCTTGGATTTCTAAATTTCACTCCTCCACTACCAACTGTCGAGGTTTGGATGACCTAAGTCCTTTGGTTCACTCGGAAATACTTTTGATAGTAGATCTAGCTAATGCCCCTTAATTTGCTTTTATGGGCACGACCAGATGTTTGACTGTGGAGATTTAGGTGTATTTGTATTTTATATTGAAATTTGGATTACTTATTCCCTACTCTCTCTTCTTTTTTTCCATCAAGGGAGGTTCTTTTCAGATTTTCAACCCGATATTTTCTTTTTTGTTTCATTTTCTACCATTTAAGATTCCCTTTAGATTTTCAGCCTGATAGATTTTTTTTGTCATTCTGTTTTTTGGAACATGGCAGTGCTTTGTTGGGACACTTTGTCAGAGCCTACATTCGGTTAGATTTTCACAGAGGTTTGGGTTTGAGTTCACCTTGGGTTTGCTATGTTCGAACTAAGGACGCTAGGACTAGGTTTGTTTTTGTTCTAGAAGCAATCCCTCAAAATCACTAGAAGGGGCTTATATATTGGCAAAACACCCATAAATCAAGAGATTAGTTGCCTGGATCAAATCTAAACCATCCATGCCTCATCTACATGGTGTGAATCACTGTTCTCTATAGCCTCCATATTTTGCCACATGTTGGTAATTCCCTTTTGGTAGCTCTTCCGCCTGATTTTAGGTCTTACGTCTATCAAGTAATATTTTCTTAGAAGTATTGGGATTTGTCCTATCTTTTGTTTCCATTCTCCTAAAAATAGGTTTTAGGGAATATTTTGTGGTTTATAGTCCACAATCTATCTTAATATTTATGAATCTAATATGGTCCCTAAAGTTTAAGTTATTAACATCGACCTAAATTGAATCTGAACTGATTTGACGATCACGAATATCCGATAGCGTCTGATTGAGAGAGAGCAAAAGAAAGTGGTAATAAAGGATTCATTCTTCCTTCCTAACATAGGCGACCGGAAAGGGTGGGAAACAAGGTATCCCAACAACAAACAGAACCAGAATGCCCTTCAGTTAGAAGCTTCCAAAGATCTAGAACCACATGTATCTCAAATGAAGACACTTCCATAGAATCAAAAGCAAGAATCTAAGAGGCCTCCTACATCCAAAACAACATGACAAAAACAACCTAACCTTAATATGAGATACAACAACAGCCCAACTAATAAGAAAATGCCCCAAATACCCTGGCCAAAGAGATTTGCTCCATTTTCCTTTTTTTCTAGAAAATTTGAGGTTTCCAGATAGATAACTAAAGAGTAATGATTTGCTCTGATCACATCTGAAATTGACCATCCACTGCAGAAAATGACAAGAATCACAAAATTTGGATGATAAACAAAGATGCAAAAACTTGGACATCAGATTCCAGATTCCAGAGGAGAAATGGAGCTTTGGGGTGCCTGACTTCAGTGCATTTTCACTATTAAAAAAAAAAAATTTACATAGATTAAGATACAATCCCAAGAAAAAGCATTCTCGATTGGAGTCTGGAATTAGGCCATCCAACCAATGTAGCTTTTGGCCTAAATATTTCCTTCCATTTCACAATTAATCTACAGTCCATTGGACCATCTCCCAGTCAATCGAATACAATCTCGGTTTGCAAAATCCTAGCTTATTTGATCATCTGCTCTGCCATGGAAGACCAGTCTACCTGTATCCCATTCCCTCAGCTCCAAGAAATAGACTAAGTTTTGCTCCATTTGCCACCGTTGAAAAAGATATCCAAGGACTCAACACAATTGGATCTCTCTCTCTCTCTCTCTCTCTCTCTCTCTCGCACGCGCGAGCACGCACACACATGCATGCATATACCATAAAGACTGACAAGTAGTATGCATCGTGCAATGCATAGCATCTTGATATGGATTCTAGGATAGCCTGAAATGAGTATGTTAGTACAAGCCATCCTAATAGAACAGGGTCAATGGTCCAGTGGATGTGCACTATAAAGCTTGATCAACCCACCGATGTAGCTGCAAATTCAAAATATTAACATAAGGGACAAATAACATAGTCTGTTGAAGGAACAAATAACTTTTTTAATAAGTTAAATGCTTGCATTTGAAAAGTTGGCATTCCCAAAGTTCACACATTATACAAATGCCAATACTTTCCCAGATAAACACTCGTATTTTAGATCTCCATTTACTGGTTGAGCTCAAGACCAATGATATGAAGGAGGCGTCCACAAAACAATGGAATGAAGAGAATGATCTGAACTTTACCAAAACCAAACACTTGTTCAAGACGAACTCCAATAAATAGGAGGCTGAACATATTAGCAACTATATGAACAACTCCAGCATGCAGTGACATGCAGATGAAAGCCGCCACCCTTCATGTTCAAAAATCACTTTCTTCCAATCTAGAGCACCCATAAAGTCAAGCCTGCAGGAAACAAAAGAAGCGTATATGATTAATTTCATTCTGTAATATAAGCCAAATCTCAGGGAACGTTTTTTCCCCCCTGAAATCTTGAAAATCTCAAGTAACTTTTGAATAATGTTCACAGTAGTGCCATGTTAACTTGGTCAAAGTGTTCAAAATTTCAAACAATCATGTACACAATTGATCACACCAATTGGCATAGCCAAGTTAATATACCACTTTGTATTGATGCTACTCTTCCATCATTCCCACACACACACATGCGCATGCTAAGATGAAAAAAGATCTAAAGCTTTTTCTCTTTCTGAATGATGACCAGAAGAGACATCATTCTAGTTTTCTTCCTCAGAACTAGTGACTTGATCAAAAACAATGAAAAAAGAATTTCTAAATAGGCCAATTAGAAACTTTGACAATTATCATCTTAGATTGCAACATCTTGGTTAGACGTATACACTTTTCGTACAGCAGATGAAGCTAATGCAAAGATCCACATGTACAAGAGTGTGTATAACGAAAACTCACATGTTTAAACAAGGACAAGCACATATCAATGGGTGCATCAGCCCACAGATTCATGAACATTGGCACACAAACACTCCCAATTAGAACATGACACTCTGCGTAACAAGAATTAGAGCATGACATTGCTTGTTGGTTGCAATCTGTTGTTGCTGAAGCACTAGCATATATATTCATCCTCATTCTCACTCCTAATTTTTAGAGTAGGAATCACCTAAATAGCTTGGCAGTCAAGGGATATTGGGCATTTTAGATCATTTGAAACGGAAATCAGTTTATCTCAAACTATAAGAAATGGACATTGATATTGGCAATTTGGATCACTAGAAATTGATAATTTCATATACAAGAGTGCGCATAGAGAGATATTAGATTGTCATAAACCTAATAAAACAAATGGAAGAAAGAAGAAAATTGCAGATGAATAAACCCAGAAACTTACTTATATATTAACTAGGTTGGTATAGTTAAGGCAACAGAAGAGCTCACAAAGCAACAGGCCCACTTTGATGGGCCTACAGCATTGCAGAACTCAAATCAATTCTTTTCTCCCATATCTGTTGCCAAGGTCATATTATAGCATTGTTTTCATAATGTCTTATTATAGCATTCAAATGGTGAGAAATATGTAATTCAATGTTCGAAAAATAGAAATCATTACAATTTTTTAATGGAACAGTAACAGAAAACATTACACTGCATTCTTCGCACATGGATCCCTATTGATTCACTGACCTACTTCCACTCCCACAAAATCGGTCCTCATACTCATAAAAGCTTACCTTTCAAATAAAAAGGCTGACAAAAAAAATTCAAAATTGCCTAACATAATTAATTGATGATTCTACACCTCCCAAAATACCTCTTAAATAAATTACAATTCCCTATTTTAGTATCATTACATACCACTGTTCCTAGGAGAGTCTCATCTACAAGGCTAAAAATGGGAATCATTATGTAAGTTTTTGTCATCATTCCATGTCACCTACATGGGTTCCATACCTAGCATGTCAGTCGTGACTTAAAAACTTCTCAAATCGACTAGGGGCAGTGTTCTGAAAGGTGTGAGATGGTGTTCTGAAAAGTGTGAGATGGTGACTAGGCAGCAAAGGGTTCCTGCCGCCTAAATGGCCGCCTAAAATTAAAGGAGACCTGGTATAAGGGTTTTGAATAATATTTTGGTTTCTTAACCTTTGAAAAAGAATGGCTTCATAAACAAAATTGAGTTTGAAGGGCCCAGAATCACTGATGGGAAGTTGTTAGAGTTTGAGTGCCACTGTGTGTGAGTTTTAAGATCTACAAGCATGTAAGAAACAACAAACTTCCATGTCTCAAATGTGTATCAAATCAAAAAATTGTAGAATCATCTCTTTTATGTGTGAAATTTGAAGGGGAAAAGATGGCCAAAATACCCATTACTAGAGAGTATTTTCAGCCATTGGATGAAGGACCCTCAAGGAGTGTCCCTGGCCTGAGGAGTGATGCACCTACACTCAAGTAAGAAAGAATCTGAAGAAAATTTAAGAACAAAAACAACAAGAGAATTATTACAAGAGGATAGAAATTTATACAGGAGGAGCTTAACCTCAACACTTGTTCCAAGAATTTTCTTACGAGAATGTTCACTCTCTAGAGTGTTCCTACAACATATTCTACCTAAAATCTTGTTAAAAGATTCCCCTTTAGATCCAAGGACACTGTAACTATTCTAGATAGCTCTAATATATACTAATGTGTTCTAGAATTTCTTCACTATTCTAGAACTCTCTAATATGCTCTCAAAGACTATCATATTTTAGAATTTTCTAAGGTCTTATAGAAGATTGCAACATATTTCATAATATTTAAAAAGTTTTCTAATAATCTAGAAGCCCTTAAAAAGTTCTTGAAAATGTTGAAATATTTTGGGTGGTCCATTGCATCATCTTCCCCTGGTTAAGGAGAACTTGACTTCGGCATGTTGGGCGTTATATATTTCTCCAAGAAAGACTCCAATGAAAGGTCCACAATGCTCTATAAATTACCTACCCATTTTCAGTTGTAGACTGTCCGTAGGCTGAGTGTAAGGCATGTGGAAAATATTTTCTTTAGGTGTGTTTAAAAATTGTTCCCCCAATGGGATTATTTCTCGATCAATTTCCTGCTCATGGTACTCATAGAGATTGGATACACAAAAAACAGCTGAAATATGAAACCCTTCGGATATTTTTATTTTGTCAGTGTTATCTCCAAGTTTCTCACACGAACCGATCTCCTAAATTTGAGCTTTTGATAGGTTCTACTTAGGGAGCACTTCAAGTGAGAGTAAACCATAACTAAATCACATTCCTCACTTGCCAACATTGAACTTAGCATTGGTATAAAGTTCTTGGAGCTTATACTTCACTTGCTTATGTATTTACATATGCTTGAGCAGATCCTCATGGGGAGGAGGTCAGAGTCAAATAGCAGTTCCATACTTATGCTGGGGTGTGCATTTTCAGATGTTTTTGAGTTTGCCAATTGACAAATTAGTGAATATATCTCCTTCGCGACTTGGCGAGTAATATCCTTCGTCTACTAAAGCCACCTTTCTTTAACCAAAAATGCCTTCTGAGGAACTAAGATGGGTTCCTAAAGCCACCTTTCCAGATGGGTTCCCGATAGCACCTTTTCAAAGTTATTGGGATACCTTTCGCCCAGACTTTCTCAGTTTCTTTGAGAAATTCTTTCACCAGGGCGTTCTCCACAAAGCTATCAATGCAACCTTCATTGCTCTTGTGCCAAAGAAAGAAGGGGCAGAGGAACTAAGAGACTTTCGCCCTATCAGTCTCTTAAATTCCTCGTACAAAGTCTTAGCCAAAGTTTTGGCTCCAAGATTACAACCAGTTCTCCCGCTGGTCATCTCCCAATCTCAAACGGCATTCATCAAAGGAAGACAGATTCTAGAAGGAGCGCTAGTGGCTCACGAGTGTATCCACTCTCGGCACAGATCCAAAATCCCGAGCCTGATCTTTAAAATCTATTGGGAAAAAGCTTATGACCATGTTGACTGGTTTGTCCTTGAGGAAGCTATGAAGAGAATGGGTTTTCAGGATAGATGAAGGAAGTGGATGAGAGGATGCTACTCCCATCCTTACTTTTCCATCTTAATCAATGGGACGCTTAAAGGCTTCTTCCCCTCTTCGAGGGATCCGCGCCAAGGGGATCCTCTTTCCCCTTTCCTGTTCACCATATCGGCTGAAGTATTCAGCCGCTCGCTATCGCATATAAACCAAGCAGGTCTACTATCAGGTTTCAGGTGTAGCCACCAGGGCCCAAATGTCTCTCACCTACAATATGCAGACGACACGTTGGTGTTCCTAGATGCTTTGCAAGAGGAAATTAACAATCTCAGACTATACCTCAATGTTTCCAAGAGGCAACATGGAGAAATAAAAAATGATGGGGGTAGCACTTTCTTCTGAGGAAGTTAAAGCTCTCATCCCTAATTGGGGATGCAAAGTGGAAGAGCTACCCACATCCTACCTAGGATTCCCACTGGGATTGGGAAAACCTAAAAAGAGACAATGGGCTCACATCATAGACAAGGTGGACAAGCGTCTAGCATGATAGAAAGGGAGATACCTCTCAATGGGAGGCTGGTCTACCATGATCAAAGCCACTTTAGCCAATGCCCCTGTATATCTTATGTTCCTCTTCCAGATACCTAGCTCAGTGGCTCTTCACCTTGAACAACTCATGAGGAACTTTCTTTGGTCGGGACAACCAGAGAAAACAAAGTACCTCCTAATTCCTTGGCACAATATATGCCTTCCTAAATCTCAAGGGGGAATACGGATCAAAAACCTGAGACAACATAATTTGGCCTCACTAGGGAAATGGTGATGGCACCTTGCTACCCAACCAGATTCCCTGTGAGCACAGATACTAAGGAATAAATACCGCATTCCACAAACTATCTAGCTATCGGAAAGGCAACAGGTCAATAACGCCTCTGGTGTGTGGAAGTCCTTCTCGGCCGTTCTCTCACCTTTCAAAAAATACATTAGATTCCAAATCAAAGAAGGAACTAGAATTAAGTTCTGGTCCGATCTCTAGTTAGGACATACCCCTCTCAGGGACAACTACCCCTCGCTATTCTCACTTACCTCAAACAAGGATGCAACAGTGGCAGAGGAGTTAATGGCCGTAGGTAATAGAAGGATTTGGAACCCCAACTTCAGAAGAAATCTTACGGAAGAGGAAATAAGTCTTTTCTCCACACTTTTGGCAACCCTTGACTCCACTTTTCTCCCCTCTCATGGGAGGGATCTGGACCCCCAACCTGTCTGGAAACTTCTTGGTCTCCTCTTTTTACCAGAAACTCACCCAACCACTTACCTACCCACTCAATCCCAAATCTCCGCTCTCAAATGTTTGGTCCACTATAGCCCCTCCCAAAGTTCAAATGTTCAACTGGATTGCTTACTTACAAAGGGCACTAACAGTGGACCAAATGCAAAAAAGAGGACGTCAAATGTCGAATAGATGCGCAATGTGTCAGAGCGAGGAAGAAACCAACCCCCATCTCTTCATTTACTGCAGCACTGCTTTAGACTCGTGGACTCAAATACTACAGTTGTTTAACATTCATTGGGTAACTCCACCTTCCTCAAGGCTCTTCAGGCTATGGACCTTGCAGTTCATTGGCCGAAAGCAGGAAGGCTTCTATGGGGGGCAACAATAGCGGCAACCATTTGGGTCATTTGGAATGAAAGAAAATCCAAGATCTTTTAGGGCCACAAACTCCACACTCAGGCTCTTTTCCATAAGGTTACTTCCCTAGTAATCTTTTGGGCTTCCAATCATAAGGCCTTTTCGGGTATCTTTGCGACCTCCTTACATATCTTCAAACATAGGCCATGAAAACCCAAAAGAGCAAACAACTGGCAGCCTCCACAGGAAGGCACCATCAAGCTCAATTTCGACGGATGCTCTCTTGGGATCCAGGCCATGCAGGGGCCGGCGGGGTTTTCAGAGACCATAACAGTAACATCCTCTACACGTACTCGGAATACCTCGGCCACTATGATTCTCACACGCGGAAGCCTTGGCACTGCTCCTTGGTCTAAAATCTTTTAACCGAGACTGGGGCTCACAACTACTGATCGAAGGAGATGCAAAAAATATTATAGCTTGGGTGACTGGGTCTACGTCACCGCGTTCGTATCTAGCACCCATTTTTAATGAGGTTGCTCACCTATGCAGGGATATGGATGTCTCATGGAGGCCCACTTGGAAGACGTCCAACGAGCACGCGGACCTCTGGCGAAAGACGGAGCTAGGAACACTATAGTCTTTCTCTCAACTACACAGCTTCCATAGTTTTGTAATTGGACACCAGTCATTAGCCTCTTTTTCTTGATCCCACCTTCCTCTCTCTCTTTTCATTGTATACATCCCCAAAAAGGGGCACATGTATGGGGCACCCTATATAAGCCCATTTTTTTATAGAATTACCAACTTTACCGAGAGACCTGCTCTTAGGGTCCTCTCGGTCATGCTCAATTGTAATCCTTTTATTTCAGCAATATAATAGTTAACACTTCTCAAAAAAGTTTAATATAACTAAACAAGTATAAGAAAGTAAGAGAAAACAATTTAGTTAACAATGTGTTGGTGAAATTCAAACTTCAAAGGTCAAAGTTCCACTTTTGTTATTGTTACATGGTTGTGTAGCATCCCTGTTCTGAAACGCGATAGCACGTGCAAAGTTCCCGAGAGTATGCTTGAACTTGATCAATTCACAACTTCGGATCTCATCTTCTATAGAAGGATAAAGAACTAACCTCTTAAAGTACATAAGAGTGCTCCATTTATTATGCAATCTGATTCGAGATGGATTCAAAAAGTAAACCACTGCATAGGGGGACTGGGTATCCCATCTGCTACCTATATTCTCAAGTATGGGATTGTATTTGGTCACGTCATTCTTCAAAGCCATTTTTATCTCTTTTGTTGCCCTAATCATGGCCTCATGTATGTAGCCATGGTGGGCATCGCATCTTCATCCACCAATTGAAGCACTTTCACCAAAGGGCTAGAATTATTCAAGGAAAAGTAAACTTGGGACCAAAAGGATGCATTATGAACAATTTTCTCTGCTTTTCTCCCATCTTGATGCTTGACCACTTACTTCTAGTCCACCTCTCTGAAGTGAACATACTGCTTAGGACATCTTTGAGCTTGCATAGGATTTGCAGAATGAGAAATGTCATGGCAAATCTAGTGACTCCTGGCTCTCAATCTCCCACTTCTTTGTAAGCTCTCTCATCATGCTTAGGACAAAGGCACGATCGTAGATGAAACCAATGACAAACTTTTTCTAATTGACCATAGATAGCTTCACTGTGTCCTCAAGAATGAGATCAAGCCCATGAGTTGCGCAACGAGTCTAAAACACATGCCTCCTCTTCAAAGTCAAGAGATGACCAACTGCAGATAATTGGCACTGTCACCAACAATTTGTACCACATTTTCTTCCCTAACAAAGTCTACAATATCATCCATCGACCCACAAAGTCGCATTTATGGACAACACGAGATATCCATAAAGGACCAAGACTTTCCATCTATCCATCACACATGATGGTCACTGCAAACTTCTCCCACCCTTCTCTTTGAGAACTTGTCTTCACATCTCTCACTGTGTCCTTTAATAAAGGCCCAACTGAGGTCATCGAAAAATAGGGTTTAAGCCTGGGGCCAAAGTACCCAATTCCCTCGACCATAACTTTGCAGCTAGAGAAGCACAAACGTCTCAGTAAACCCACTTGTATAAAGTGTGGTTTGTTCTGTTTTTTACTCTTATAGTCTACCACACTTTTGGGGTTAGGGGTATGAAATACATCCAATGGCCCCTTAGGGAGAGGCCCTCTTCACCCAACATTTCCATAAATATACAGAACATTCTCCCTTATAATCCTATGCTTGATTACCAGCCAGTCAGTCTGCTTCCAAAACTATAGGTGTGAGTCTATAGATGAGCAAGGCAGAATTATCCAAATATGCCCTAGTCTCTCTTCTAATTTCTCTGCTGCTAAAGGGCACGCTTCACATTCCCGATAATTTTAGCAAGATGTTGTTTTTACCCAAAAATACCCCCCAATATGTTTTCTCACATAGCATACAAAAAAACACTATTTGGATCATTTGGATTGTTCAATCTCGAATATTTCCACATCAGATCTTTGTTACTTGATGAAGATGAAGACATTATTTCATAAAAAATAAAAAAAAATATTGGTAGGACTCTGAACTTACCAAAAAATTGATCCTTGGTTTCAAACTTTCAATACCAAACCCAAAATCCAAAGAAATATCAATTTCTAGATTTTAATCTCCTCGGCATTGAATCCCTCGAATTGTGAAGTTTCACCCTAAAACCTTCAAAATGTTGGCCGAAAAAAAATAAAACGATCGCACAAATAATCAAGAAAAAAACCCCCAATCGTTTTGAAAATTTCGGAAACACAAAAAAAACTTGGTTTCCTTTATTTTTCAGTTTTAAGCCCTTGGACCCACGATAATATGATTCTAAGGAGCTTTCAAGGGGTCCTATACTCTTCCCAAATCCTCCCAACATTTTTGCTCTTTCTCATGAGCAACATTTTCACCCATGAGCAAGAGAACCTATACAGATGCATCTCTCCTAATGCATGGTGATGTGCCACATATGAGGGCACGTCACAAATTCCATATGAGGGCACGTCACAAATTCTGGCCTATGCAGGGGTGTGCAATGCGCCCCAAGCCAAATGATGCCTTATGCAGCTGCATAATCCTTATATGGCTACATTTAATAAAATTGATAGGGATATTTTTCCGCATTTATTTATCATAGAGAAAGGGAGACAATGAATATCCGAAGCAGTGTTTGGAAAGTTACACTCGACAAAGACCCTAGATTGAGTCCCCCCTAGTGCGACTCAGGTAAAACTGAGGCAGACAGGGAATTTTTAATAAGTAAAATTATAAATTTGTGAAAATTCATAGGACATAAGCTATTCCCGGGATCCCAAGATCTCTCGGCTCATGATCCGGACTTACCCGGGTGACTTACCCGGGTGATTTTCAAGTCGGCCCGATGATTTTCAAATGATGACCCAAATTGCATGTGGAGCAATGTTTTTTTTTGTCATAACATGGAAAACAGATCGACATGAGAATTGATGAGACCAATGTTTCGCAAGGACCATCCAAATCAATTGTCAAACAGTGTCACTAACCAGTAACAGGGACTCCCTTGGGGCTCATGTGGCTATTCACATTCTGCCTCCAATAGATTCAATGTGAGATCCACAAAATCCTATGGGAACTTCCTGCAGTATTTTGGAGCCAAGGTGCTTTTAAATATGAGACTACTAAACTATTTTAACATCAGGCTATAAAATTTATCTTACCTTTGCAAATATTTAGGACACAAACACCAGATACAGATACAGGAAATTAGCTACTTGAGGAACACCATGCACTCTTTCTAGTGTCATCTTCATCTGCAGTGACTATCATACCATTGCAAATACAAACACGCTATCCGTGAACACCATGAACTCTTTGTAGTGTTGTCTAAGGCTATTGGGTTGGATGAAACCCTACGACCCATGCACATTAAAATCACACCTCTCATATGAGAATCTAAAAATATCAATAAAATGATGTCCCATGAAATGGTGAAAAACAAAAAACTTCATTATAAACAACAATGTAATTCCAATACGATTGGCAATTTGGCATCATGATAATGGCATTCGATATGGGCACAAAATAACTCAAAATAATTTTTTCTTATAATCCAAAATGATTCAAGATATTAATCGCATTTCTCACTTGTAGAGAACATAATCTCAAAGGAATTGCCAGCCATCAAAACATAAAATCTCAATGCTCGGAACAAATAAACAAACATGAAGCACAAATCGAACAGCTAGAATGAACTATATATTAGCCATGAATATATCACGCTCAAGTTTTGAGTACGAAATGAAAGCACCTCATAAATACTCAACCACCAATAGAGTACAATAACAATAGATATCCTAAAAACATGAAGTTGTAGGTCTACCCCAATAGCTCATAGAGTATACCATGCCCTAAAACATTCTTAGCTCAAAGGAACAGAACTATGATAGTCAATAGATATACGATAAAAACCGACTCATAGCATGATCTAACTCAACCAATTAACGCACATTCCCTAAATCAGCAGCAACACAAACCATAGTGGCTTCCAATCTCAGTACTAAGTTCTCCCATCTCCTTCTGTAATTATATCTTTGAAAGCTCCACCGCTCGGGATCATAGGCAGCACATGCTCCTGATGAGGCACAACAACATCCAATAAGTAAGGCCCAGGGGTCTCTAACATCTTCAAAATGGCAGCCTTGAGCTCATTAAGCTTTGTTACTCGAGCAGCTGGGATATCACAGGCCTCTGCGAAATTCAACAAATCGGGGAAAATCTCTGATTCCCTTGATGGGTCTCCAAGATAAGTATGAGCCCTGTTCGCCTTATAAAATCGATCTTCCCATTGAACCACCATACCCAAATGCTGGTTATTCAAAACCATCATCTTTACAGGGAGGTTTTCGACCCTTATGGTTGCAAGTTCTTGAACATTCATCATGAAACTACCATCACCATCAATATCGACTACAATAGAATCAGGTTACCTACCGCAGCTCCAATGGCAGCAGGTAATCCAAAACCCATTGCACCCAAACCACCGGAGGTTAGCCATTGTCTTGGCCTTTGATAATCATAAAATTGAGCAGCCCACATTTGGTGTTGACCCACTCCAGAGCTTATAATGGCCTTTCCCTTAGTTAACTCCTCTAATAATTTAATGGCATATTGGGGTGGAATAGCCTCTCCAAAAGTCTGATAGCTCAGAGGCCACTTTCTCTTCTGCTCTTGCAATTCCTGTCTCCAAGCCGAGAAATCGAGCCCGACATTTGTTAAACCACCCTCTCTCTCCATGAACGAATCGGACACACTCCTTTCTCTCTCCTCGAACAAATGATTCAACCCACGTAAAGCCAGCCTGATATCAGCACATAGAGAAACATGGGGTTGCTTGTTTTTTCCTATCTCAGCTGGGTCTATATCGACATGAACAATACTCGCCCTACTTGCAAAAGCCTCCAATTTTCCTGTCACTCTATCATCAAATCTAACCCCAAAAGCTAACAAAAGATCAGCTTTATCAACAGCATAATTTGCATAAACAGTACCATGCATTCCTAACATACGCAAGCTGAGATCATCTGAACATGAATACGATCCCAACCCCATTAAAGTACTAGCAACTGGTATCCCAGTTAGCTCAACAAACCTCTCCTCACTAGCATTCAAACAGCCACCCCCTACATAAAGAACAGGCCTTTTCGATCCCAAAATCAAACGTACAATCAGTTCAAGCTGAGAAAGGTCAGGATTTTTCAGCAATCGGTTAATATAACCATGAATTTTCATGGGTTGATACCAATCGGGTATCGCCATTTGTTGTTGAACGTCTTTAGGCACATCGATCAACACAGGGCCAGGTCGACCCGATGAAGCTAAAAAGAAAGCTTCTCTAACAATCCTAGGTATATCATCGACATTAAGAACAAGATAATTGTGCTTCGTTATAGACCTGGTTACCTCGACAATAGGGGTCTCTTGAAAAGCATCAGTTCCATTCATTCTACGAGGAACCTGACCAGTAATGGCAACTAAAGGAAAGCATCGCATCAGCTAACCCACTAACCAGATTGGTGGCTCCCGGTCCGGAGGTGGCTATACAAACACCCACCTTACCAGTAGATCGAGCATAGCCTTCGGCTGCAAAGATCTCACCTTGTTCATGGCGACAAAGGACATTGCTAACGGTTGTGGACCTGGTCAGGGCCTGATGGATCTCAAGAGAAGCACCGCCTGGATAGGCGAAAACATGTTGAACATTTTCTCTCTCTAGAGCTTCAACCAGAATGTCAGCTCCCTTTCGAGGCTCTTCATCAGCGAAGCGAGAGATGAAGCTCGAGGGCAAAGGGGAATAGAGGTTTTTTTGGTGCGTGGTCAGGGTTGCAGGGTCGATGGGGGAGTCGGAGAGGACCGCTTCTAGAGAGAGAGAGAGGATTTTTGGGGGTGGAGTAGGCGGAGGAGAGAAAGCGGTGGTAGTGGTAGCGGTGGTGGTGGTGAGGAGGTGGTGTGGAGGATTTTCTCTCTCTAAAGGGAGAGGAGGGGTTGGAGAGGGAGAAAGTCGCAGTTGCCGCCATAGTTGAAGAGAGAGAAAGCGGGGTTGGAGAATGAAACAGAGAGTGGGCTTTGTAGGGGAGAGAGCTTTCTATAATGGCGCTCTCTTTCCCTCTCTCTCTGTCTCTCTACATGTGGCCACCACAATCAAAGGGGAAAGACCAAAAAAAGAAGAGTGAGAAGCGGCTGAGGTGAAGGGGGGCAGATTTTGAAGGGAGTGCGGGGGGACGTAGGGTTTCTCTCTCTCCTCGTTGGCTTTACTTTAATGGAGTCTCTCAATCTCTCTCTCTGCTGTGAAAAAAGGGATTAGAGCAGTCGCTCTACTGACTAGTCTTAACCGTTGGTCTCTCTCTCTCTTGACTCTTGCTCCTCTATTCATAAGCGATCCGTGGCTCTTAAGGAGCTTCCCCTCTTTAGCATCGTGCATATGATAGCAAGATTAAAAAATCCGCTTGAACCATTCATCTGCACAATTTCATTGCCTTTGATGTAGATCTCTCCCTTCTCTGTCAATTGTGCGTCTTCCCTCTTTCTCTCTCCTCCTTTTATATCCTCTCTCTATCCTGAATGTCCCTCCATTGTTTCTCTTTCTAACGTGGGCTTCCTTCTCTTTCTTCCTTGTTTTTTCTTTTAGAATATGTATGTTGGTTCAGGGATATACGACACGTGGACATTACATTTCATAAATGTTATTTTCATTCAATAAAAAAGTCTTCTGTTGGACATGTGCAGTGAGATGCATTTTGGTGGCACTGTGTATGTAATCAAGATTACTTCTAATGGGATCTTCATGTAGGGACTTGCACTCCTTATATATAGGGATTGCGGCAAGGGTTATAAATATCTTATTGTAATAGAAAATTATTTTTATCTCTCTAAGTAAAGTGGAGTATGGGTAGTTAAGATAGTGAAAAGTCATCTCCCTCTTCGCATAGGTAATAGGAAGTTTATCCAAAACGTGAGTAGTGGATAGTTTGGTTGAGAGCTCTTATATATATGGGCTCCACATATTGAAGTTGGGGCATTGCGCGACAGAAGGTTTGTTTCCCTCAAAAAAAACCATTGTTTTATCTCTCTTGTATCTCTATTCTTTGGTGGATTTCTCTCTTCAAAATAGGTAGAACCTGGAACGAAGGCGTGTCTCGAGAGTTAGAAATTTTTTTTTTAAGGTAAGGTGGTCCGATATTAGGCGTTTAGGCTTTATTTTTTTGAAAGTTTAAGGTAGTCCGATGTTTTTAATATCGTACTACATTTAGACCTCATTTTTTGAAAGTTTAAGGCGGTCCGGTATTTCTAATATCGAAACATGTTTACATCGCATTTTTTGATGGTTTCAGGCTTTTGAAGATTTAAAGTGGCAATAAAATAAAATAAATAAATTTAATATGCGATTCGAAGTTTAAAACATTTAACATGAGGCAAACAAGAAAAAAAATAAAAAAAATCAAAGGACAAGGAAGTATGCATAAATATGGCATATTTTTGGATCATCACGTAATAATGGTCAAATAAAACTGTATGAACGTAATTTTTCCTTTTTTTCTTTACTTTATTTCATCACTTCTACTTATTTGCTTTGCATAAAATCTACTGTTTGCATTCTCTCTCTAAAATTAAAAACATCTCTAACTTTTTTTCTTTACTTTATTTCATCACTTCTACTTATTTGCTTTGCATAAAATCTACTGTTTGCATTCTCTCTCTAAAATTAAAAACATCTCTAATGCTTTGAATGCTCAATCGTGAATTTTCATTTTTAGGTATCCCCAGCACTAATTTGCTAGGTTCACCATTGTGTAAACTTGGTTTAAATTGTGTACATTGGTTTAAATCAGTAAGTTTGCTAGGTTCACCATTGTGTAAACTTGGTTTAAATTGTGTACATTGGTTTAAATCAGTAAGTGCAAATACAGACTTAAGATGCTTTAGCTTAACTGAAACCATAAAAGTCCTCCCATCCTTCTTCAAGGTTCTTTAATATCATCTACAAACTGATTTCACAGCCCTCATTTCACCATTTTTTCAACAATTGTCATTGTGAATACCTTTACGGGCTTAAATAGGTCAGTCGGGTTGGAGTCTGGATAAAAAATATAGGGAAAAGTTTTATATAGAGCCGAGGTTCTAAACAATCAAATTTGAGCCTACATCAAAAATTTCATTAAAAGAGGTTGTTTTGATGCCTAAATATCCACAAATTCATCATCTTGACATCAAGATACATAAACATGAGAAAAAAATGAATTTCAAATTTTGGAAATAGTGTATTTTGTAACGTACTTTTGGACTGTCAATTTTCAAGTTTTCATAGATATCTCAATCTACATTATTTTTTAAGCTTTAAACTTTATAAATAAAGATGAAAATATATTTTAAGGCTATCAAAAAGATTTCCAGTATTGAAATAATATTTTTCAATACTATTTGAAAGAAGGTTCTAATTTGATTGTTTAGAGCCTAGGCTCTATACAAACCGCGCCCAAAAATATATAATATTAAAAAGCATATCTTTAATCTGGGAAAGTTTATATAGAGCCAATTAAATTGAGCCCACCTCAAAATTTTTACTAGAAGATGTTGTTTTGATGTCAAATGTACTCAAATTGGTCATCTCAACATCAAAGATGCATGGACAGGAGAAAAAAAGGATACTAACTTTTGGAAATAGTGTATCTTGTAATTCATTTTTGGACCGTCAATTTTCAAATGTTCATAGATCTGCTCGATCAATATTATTTTTTAAGCTTAAAATTTTATAATTAAAGATGAAAATATATTTCATGCTATGACAAAGATTCTTGATATTGAAACTACATTTCTCGATACTATTTCAATGTGGGCTCTAATTTGATTGTTTAGAGCCTCGGCTCTGTACAAGCCGCACCCTATGAATAATAATGTATATCCTCAGTCAGAGTAGATAGACAAAATGCATGATTAATGTGGCATGCCAATACCGAACACAAAAGCCAATACCTAACACAATCAAATAAAATAAAATAAAAAGTGGCTCACCTGTTCTTTTCTTGTTTCTTTAATTTCCCTAAAGAAATGGGTGGCATGGCAGTCCATGCTTCCTTTCCTGTGAAGCACACATTCCCCTCACATCACAAATCAAGAAAACCCTACCCTAAACTTCTTTGTGTATAAATTCCCCCACATATCAGGTCAGGACCAGCAAGTTAAAATCAACCGAGCCCATAAAGATCAGGGTGAAGTGGAAGAAAAATGGCTTTCAAAGAAACACAGCATCAGCAACAAGGAAAAGAGGAAGTTGAAGCCCAGGCTGTAATTTGGGAGCACATGTTTGGCATGGCCAAAACCATGGCCCTCAACTGTGCTGTCCGCCTTGGCCTCGCCGACATCATCCATGCTCACGGCCGCCCCATCACTCTCTTCCACCTCGCTTCCTTGCTCCCAATTCAACCAGTGAACCCCGACCGCTTGCACCGCCTGATGCGCTTCTTAGTGCACACCCACCTCTTCGCCAAAACCACAGGGCTCAATGGAGATGAAGAAACTTACTGGCTCACCCCCTCTTCCCAGCTCCTCCTCCGACATGCGGAGAAGAGCATGTCGGGTTTTGCTCGAGTTCATGAGATGACAGTGTCGCCATGGCTATCTTTGGGGCCGTGCTTAGAGGAGGGAGTTGCTTCGGCTTTCGAAAAGACGTATGGGATGAGTAGGTGGGAGTATTCAGCTTCTCACCCTGATGAGAATAGGGCTTTCAATGAAGCCATGGCTTGCTTGGCGAGGCTGGTCATGCCGGCCATCGTGGGCGGGTGCGAACGGTTGTTGCAGGGAGCGAGGTCGGTGGTCGATGTGGGAGGAGGCACCGGAACTGCTGTTGGGGCTTTGGCCAAAGCCTTCCCCAGTGTTAAGTTCACTCTCTATGATCTCCCTCATGTGGTGGCCACTGTGGGTGAGCTCAATGGTGTTGATACAGTGGGTGGAGACATGTTTTCTGCGATACCTAAGGCTGATGTAGTATTTCTTATGGTCAGTATCCCATCCATCGTGCGTATTTATTTAGAGATATTAAGGATGTAGTATTTCTTAGGGTCAGTATCCCATCCATCGTGCGTATTTATTTAGAGATATTAAGGATTTTCAAATTTGATTGGTGGTGGTCTAAGGCTGATGTAGTATATCTTATGGTCAGTATCCCATCCATCGTGCGTATTTATTTAGAGATATTATCCCATCCATCGTGCGTATTTATTTAGAGATATTAAGGATTTTCAAATTTGATTGGTGGTGGTGGCGGCGGCGGCGGCGGTCGTGTTCTGTTTTTCAAAAAGCATTCTTTTTTTTTTTACTTAAGAGGTATGTGCAAATACACACATTTAAGGTTAAAAGTTTAGTTTAAGAAGTATTGGGGGAAGGACGTGCCTAGAAAGTCAAGTCACTTAAGAGGTAGGTGCAAATACACACATTTAAGGTTAAAAGTTTAGTCTAAGAAGTATTGGGGGAGGGACATGCCTAGAAAGTCAGGTCAGGGGTCATCTATAAATTTTTTTGTTGGCATTTGGGTCTGTCTTTAATAACTTTAAATTAGAGTTTAAAATAATATATCTGGTAATTTTTAAGTAAATTCCTAAATTCAAGGTGAAATAACTCTTTCGTTCGAACCACCATCAGGTCTCGTTGGCCCTACTCCCAATCACCACCCAACCCATTTGTTGAATGGGGATGGCCCTTATTATAGTCACGTGATCATAGTGTTCTTTCCCATACATATCCTTGGGGTTTCAGCACATAAAGGTCTTAAGTTTCTGTTACTTAATAAATCGCCAGATTTTTTATGTGATTATGTTCATACCCTTTTATTGTTTTCTTTTTCTTTCTTTTTTTTTTCTGCATTTTTTTTCAAAATGATGACATTTCTTATTCGGATCGAGCAGTTTCTCTCATCTAACAGACTTTGTGGTCGTTAATGGGATCAAATACATGGGGCTCTAGTGTATGTTCCATGGTCTTAAAACCCAGGGATTTCCAATTTGGATTGCTGATCCAGATAAGAATCAGTTGGGACCGATATAGGATGGTATGTATCCCACCTTGATTCCCCCTAACTCCTCTGTGTTCCACTTTATTGTTTTGTCTTTTTTTAAGCTTGTATAATATTTTTTTAGGTCCCTTTAAATCCCCATTCCATAAACCTCTATTTTTATTTTATTTTACTTGTTTTTAAAATTTTATGAATTACCGATTCAGATCGATCTAAACCTGATTACGATCGCCTATCCAATAATCCGACATGAATAATCCATCCCACATATCCGGTTTTAAAACACTGGTATGTTCATGCGTGTGTATGTCAGCAAAAGCAACATGCGTTTGGGTGCACAGTCCCAGTCCTAGTATCTATTGTATACGTGTATATAATGAAACATGATAATTTTCATTGTTCTTCTTCTCTCTTTCTTTTTTTTTTTTTAAAAAAAAAAAATGATGGCGTATATGTCGTTTATGATTTGCCAATTTAATTCAATTATTTTATTTTTTTTAATTTGCAGCGGATCTTACATGATTGGGGTGATAAAGAATGCTTGGAAATATTGAAACAAATTAGAAAAGCTATTCCTGAAGAAGGAAAGGTGATTATAGTGGATGTGGTATTGAAGGAAGAGGAAGAACATGTGTTTAGGCATGCAAGAATGGGTTTAGATATGGTGATGATGGTACAAACTGGTGGGAAGGAGAGAGATGAAGGGGAATGGGCCAAGCTACTTCATGATGCAGGCTTTAAGAAATATGAAGTAGTGCCTATCATGGCTGTATATTCCATCATTGTAGCTTTTCCATAACATCTAACCTCTTTTGGTTTAAAAATAAAGGGTGCAGTTTGTATAAGGTCGAGGTTCTAAACAATCAAAGTAAATCGCACTTTCAAATAGTATCCAGAGACGGTTTCAATACTGAAAATCACAACTTGTGGTGTTTCTCTCTCTAGACTTGTGTAATTTCCATTGCCTTGAGTTCTTAAAAGAGGTAAAGAAATTCTTGAGAAAGCTCTTTTTCCCCTGATAAGTACTTTTTCATGCTTCATTGTAGGGAAAGTGGCAGTTAGGAATGTACTTTCTAAGCATTTCCCAGCACTTTGGGAAAATGCGACTGCATATTTGTTTAGGTACAAAAGAGAAAAATAGTTTTTCAACCATTTATTAAAGTTTTTATCAACGATATGGAATATTTGTTAAATGAATGCGGTTTCAAAATCATAGTCATTGATGGATGGTCTAGCAAATAGATGTGTATAACACAAAAAGAAAAAAAAAGGGATAAGGGAGAGCATGTCTAAGCATTTCAATTTTATTTATTTTTATACGTCAAACTTGAACTAAAATTTTTAGTTTCTATATTTTTCACCCTCAAGAACCTACAAACAATATATAAAAAATAATTTGGGAAAATATAAGTATTAATTGAGAGCATAGCTAAGTATTTTCAATTTTATTTTATTTTCTATACATTGGAATGAGCTAAAATTTTGGACGTCAATGTTTCTTGCCTCACGCACTTATAAGAAATATAAATATTTTTAAATAAAAATGGAATGATTGAAACACCACTGAAACTCCACATTATAATTACCTAATATACTTTCAATCTCAATAGGCAAATGATGGGATGGTCCAGATCGTGTCTGAGTATTTGAATTTTACCTTTTTGTATATATGGATGGATCTGAAATTTTCAACTTCTATACATCTAAATAACTTGGACCTGCAAATAATATTAAAAATTATTATGTAAAAAATGGCTTATTTGCCCCTGAAACTTTGGGGAGTCTTTTTGCTCATTTTCTATATAAATTGTTTTTGGATATTTTTGTTAAAATTAACAAATTAAGTGCACCTACCATCCAAATTTCATCTCGATTTGATTTTAGAAAAAAAAAAAAAAAAGATTTCAAGTTTTATGCACATTTTAAAAATTACAAAACAATCCAAAAAAGAAAATCCTGCATTACCGATTACCCATTTTTAAAGTAATTTACTCTTCTATGTGGAGTGGCAAAAGTAGGAATGCTAGAGAGCAAGGAAGTCCACCTCTCATTTGATAACTGGAAGTTCCGGCTCAAGATCCTAAAAGTTCCAATTTCATGTAAAACTTCCTTCGATAATAACGTGATGTGCTATAAGAAACTGGCTATAGGAAGTTATGAGTTCTCAAAAAATGAGAACCTGCAGCAACTTCCACTCCCTTTGGAAGATTGATTACCGTAGTAAGCTTGATTATCGTAGTTTTTAGGAAGTTCAGTCTCTCACTTTCTCTTTTGCTTCCTTTTATCTTTTCTCCCTCTGACTCCATTCTTTCTCTGAATGCATCTAAGCTTGATATTTAGGATGGGCCTATGTCCAATTACAGTTTACGAGAAAACAATCTTGAAAGACCTATTCTCGCAAACCGTTGGCTGAACCGGCATGGTTCCATATAATATTGAATGAAACCGTTTAGAAATCATAAGAAAAACAAAATAAGTGTTTTGAAATTTTTTTTTTTTTGTTAAAGAAAAAAAATAAAGAAAGAATAAATAAAAATAAATAAAAAAAAAAACAAAATAAATAAAATTATCTACTTAAACAGTATAGACTGCATACTATCTTTAAAGATGTGCAATATATTAACACTATCTTAAAAAATGTGTCAAATCCATGCCATCTAGATAAAAACGATAGCATATAATATCATAGCATTATTTCTACAAATTATATTACAGCCTTATATGCCTCATTGAGGGTATGTCCCTTAATAAATCAGAATGACGGATTAGGATTTGTGTAACTGACCTTAATTAGTTGGAAAAAATGCTTTGATGATTGTAACCTTATATAAAAAGGTGCAATTGGCATACGGATGCATCCGTAGTGTAGAGGTAATGTGCACCTTCAAATTTTATCATGATATATAATTTTGATGTAAAATGTTCTTAGGATTATCTCAAAATCTATTTTTTATATCTAATTATAAAATTTTAAATTTAAAAAATGATTAAAATCAAGTAGATCTATAAACATATGAAAATCTTGAAAATGGACGGTGTAGATAATATGTTGTAAAATATACTATTTCTGATACTTAAAATCTTTTTATTTTTCATGTTCATATATCTCGATGACAAGATGATCAATCAAAGCATTTTTCAAAATTAAAACTACATTTTCCGATGGATTTTTGATGTGCATCCGTAGTTCTACACTATCATATTGCAACCTTATATAAACTTTTTCCAATATACAAACCGCAACCTAGATAGGGACCGCAACCTATGTGAAATATCTTGGGGGATGCAAGTGTAGTTGTGCGTCCTCGAACATATTAACCGCTTTACTATTAATAGTAGCATGGGCATAGGCAGTCGGGGCCTATAGGACCCGACTACCGAAAGGTCAGTACTCGGTACGTCACCCCATGACAGAAATGGGGGGCGGCGGACACCGATGCCGTCCGGCTTGTGGCGGACAAAACGTTTAGAGTTCGACTGATAAAGTGCATTTTGTACAAGTCAACTAAGTTTGTTTTCCCATTTGCTCATCTGCTTCACTGATCACCTCTTTTAAATAAGCAGCGGGAGCCCTGTGATTCTCTCACTCTCTCTCTACCTGCCATCTCTTCAAGATCCCTCTTTTTCTCATTACAAGTGACGCCTCTGCAGGAGAGAGAGTAGAAGAATGAATATACATAGCCCCAACAAGAGGTATCACCCAAAAATGGCTAAGAAAATCTACCTCAAACCTACTTTAGTTACCGTCTTAACCCTCGTCGCTCTCTACGCAGGTTTCACCGTCTTTCTCTCTCATCCTCCACCCTCCGTTTCAACCCTTTCTGATCCTTCTTCTTCTCGCTCTCTGTCTATCCTCAATTCGGGAGATCCCAAAAAAACTACGGTTAGGGTTTACATGTACGATCTCCCCAAACGCTTCACGTATGGCGTAATTGAGAGCTATCTTCGCGCTCGCGGAACCCCAAATGCGCCATTTCGATATCCAGGAACGCAACACAGTGCAGAGTGGTGGCTTTTTGCTGACCTTTTGAGAGAAGTTCGGTTGAATTCTCCCGTAGTTAGAGTTTTGGATCCCAAAGAAGCTGATCTCTTCTATGTACCATTCTTCTCTTCTTTGAGCCTTGTTGTGAATCCAATTAGGGCATCGAATTTTGGCAATGGGCACGTTTACAGTGATGAGGAGATGCAACAGGAGTTGATTGATTGGTTAGAAAACCAGGAATATTGGGAGAGGAATAAAGGGAGAGACCATGTTTTTGTTTGCCAAGATCCAAATGCACTTTACAGGGTTCTGGATAGGATCAAGAATGCGGTTCTCTTGGTTTCCGATTTTGGGAGGCTGAGAGCTGATCAGGCGTCGTTTGTGAAGGATGTGGTGTTACCTTATTCACATAGGATCAATTCCTTTAATGGGGATGTTGGTGTGGAAGGGAGGAAATCGCTATTGTTCTTTATGGGGAATAGATATCGCAAAGAGGTGGACATCTCTCTCTCTCTGTCTGCGTGTGTGGTATTGCTATTATTTTTGTTGGGATTTTCTTTCATTTCATTTGGAGAAGTGGGCTGTAGTCTTATTCTTGGTCTGAATGTGCTTTGCATTTTTTCTTTTTTGGGTTAAATTGATATGATATTCTGTTATGGATTTTATTTACCAGTAGTCAATAAGGGAATGAATTATGGGAATGGATTTTTGTTGTGGAGTTTGAATTGTTTATTAGTTGTCCAGTAGTCAATAAGGGAATAAAATATGGGAATGACTTTCAATGGGTTTTTGTTGTGGAGTTTGAATTGTTTATTAGTTATCTAGTAGGCTGGTGAGTATTTTGAGCTTAGGTACCACAACCATGAAATAATTATTCTTGTTCTATTTTAGAGAATTGAGTTGATCCAATGAATGGATATCCAAAAAGTGGGGTAGATTAGCTGGGCAGTATTAGAATATTTTTTATGTGGAAATTCCTTTTCCTATTATGAGTAATTGCTGAAGTCTTATTCTTAATCTGCATCATTCATTAATTCAGCGTACTCTTTCTTATTTCTTGATAAATTAAGAACGAGTATCCTGTTATTGAAAAAAAAATATAAGTGTTTGCATTAAAAAATAAATAAAAAAAGAAAAGAAAAAGAAAGATAGCAATCACAGTAGGTGGAAATCTACTGCATGATGTGTTTCACTCTTTTTTTTTTGCTTGCTGAGAATTATTGGTTTTGCTAGCCAGAAGTTTTAAAGAATAGCTTGTGTTGGCATTTAGTTATTACTGTTCATGATAGCACAAGACTGTGCTATATTACTGCGAAAAAATTGTGATATTGATGTCAAACTTTCATGTTATAGCATAGTTTTAATGAAGTTATGTCACCATAGATACATGCTTGATTTGGAACAATTTTAGTTTTGTACTTTCCTTATATCCCTTTGTGAAGTCCCAACAACAAACTATTTATTGGTAGTTTCATTTGAATATCTATTGTTCAATAGAGCTGTTCTGAAAGATGTACTTGATGTTATCTCTGCCAGAGCTTGATTGAAATTACTCTTTTCTCTGGGAAATGATCCCAAATGAACAGGTATCAAAGCTACATATAAGTTCATTTTAAACCCCACTTGAATCTTTGGTAGCATTGGTTTATACATTCCTGTTTGGTATCGAATCTAGGGATAATTTTTTTGCTTTCTTTTTTCGAGAACCGCCTAAGGTTCCAAATAAAAAAATGAAAATGAATGTTTAATTATCTTAATTGAAATAATGAACATCTTGGGAGGTTCATTATTTGAATTAGTACACTTGTTCCTCAAAAGGATCTCTTAGTTGTTGAGAGGTTGACCAAAGATGGTATATAAGACATACCCAATAAAGCTTACAAGTGAACCAGATATGGAATTTAGGTGCCCATGCTTTGTTGTTGGCGCATGTATTCCATTGTACCTCTCTGTATTCCAAGAAGAATGGTTCCATGATGTCCCTAATCCAGGTGCTTTGTTTTAAATTTTTCAATAGGTTATATGGTTTATATGGGCACCTGAATTGGTGTGTAATATTTTACATGTTAGGAATAGGAAAACACAAAATACGTGCAGTATTTTTGTGGAAAGCTAATAGCATCAGAACCTTCTTTTTTAGAAGTTTTGGATACTTATAGTTCCCTTTTTAAGCTAATGATGGCTATGTAAACCAAAGATAGAAATATTCGATTTTTTCTTTTCTGTATGGCACATGGAGCATCTGCTATCATGAATTGGGAAATATTGGATGTTACTCTTCCCCATGCATAGGTAATATTGATCAACGGGCTCATGTATAACCAAAAAGTTTGCTACGTAAGTTCAATCTATCACTAGATTTAAAAAAAAAAGAAAAAAAGAAAAAGAAAAAAAAAGTTTAGTATTATCATTGTTGGTCTGAGGACACTTTTTTATTTAGCACACAAGCAAAGGCTATATTATTTTGTCATATGTTCTTATTAGTTTACAGTAACCGTTAATAATTTGATACTGTTGGGCTTTTCTGGAAAAGAGCTCTTTACTACATCTCATATGAATAATCTGGAATAATCGCTCAATGCTGTATATGTTTCATAGCTTCTATTTAGTTAAAATAATTTGCCTACTTTTCAACCCTGGAAATCATATTAATTCACACCAGAGTGATCTCACAATATTGATCATATAGTTCTTGACTTCTTAATGGGAAAGAGTTTTCTTTCGTCCTGACTTCTTATTTTCTTCTCTGGCACCCATACTGTTATGTCACAATCAAAGCATTCCTTTAATGAGTTCGGATTTTTTGTTGCAGAACCATTCAAAATTAAGATCAATGGCGAGGCTTATATTGGCGAGTAACATGTTTTAAGGGATGTGACAATTAAAATTGTGAATTTCACATCTAGGATGCACTTTGCTTTTAAGGCCTGAGATATGGAAGTTCAGATGATCATGTTTAGATGAAATCATCAAAATTATTATATAGCTCCGGCCTTTAGTGAATTTCAGGTGAATGAGTCATTGCGTGGGATTCTAGTAGAGTAGATCTTTCAGATTCTAAAAGAGAAACAGGATTATGTCTGTTTCTGCAAACTATTTTCTGCATTTTAGAAGGGACATATACCATAGACTTAGAAATTGAACTGAATTTTGTATTCTGTGAAGTTGACTCTTCTGAGCCTGCCTAAAGAAGCAGCACTCCTTCTAGTCCCCCAATATGGCCTCTACATGGAAGATAGTTTTTTTAAGTGCTTGATTCTAACAACAACTATGTATTTCCAGAAACTGCAACTTCTGACATGATCGGTGTTTCTATGTTGAAAGGATATTTGCCTACTGCTATTGGCCTATTGTTGTATTTCTCACACTGAAGGTTACCTTAATGTTACTGTCTGATTGCCTGGTAGGGTTTCCATAATTCAAACGAGTTTTTTTTCATCTGTCAGAAAGTTACATTGAGTTTTGGTTTCCATTCTTGCACAACTGAATTTATGGTTCATGATTAAACTTTAGCTGTTGCTAGGTTTCTTAGAGATTATCTACCCAAGAAAAAAGGTTGCTTAGTGATTTATTCTTCCAGTGAATTCGGGTGTGGCTCTATATTTTGTGGGTCTGTGACAACAAGATCTTGTGAATGACTGTGCTTATAATACAGGGGGGAAAGATTCGTGATACTCTCTTCCAAATACTGGAGGAAGAGGAAGATGTCATTATAAAACATGGGACACAATCGAGGGAAAGTCGAAGAATGGCAACACAAGGCATGCACACTTCCAAGTTTTGTCTGCATCCAGCTGGTGATACCCCTTCAGCATGTCGCCTGTTTGATGCAATTGTTAGCTTGTGTGTGCCAGTCATCGTCAGTGACTTTATTGAGTTGCCTTTTGAAGATGCCATAGACTACACAAAAATAGCAATATTTGTTGATTCTGCCTCTGCTATTCAGCCAGGATACTTGACTTCAATGCTTGGGGGAATAAGCGAAGAGGCGATTGTACAATATCAGAGAGAGCTTAAAATGGTATTTCTAGCTACTTTTCACATAATTCCTTTTCCTTCCTGTTATATTGGTACTGTGTTGGTAGAGACATAGAGTTTCTTGCGTGATTGATATTGTTATGTTTGATTAGTATTGCATTACCAGCTAGTAACATGATCAGAAAAATGTTTGCATGGGTGTTTGAGCTTTTTGATACTTCAAAACCTCTGAAACGTCAACCATTGAGGGGTGGAGGGAGGGAGGGAGGATGATCAGAAAAATGTTTGCATGGTTGTTTGAGCTTTTTGATACTTCAAAACCTCTGAAATGGAGGGAGGGAGGGTCTCATTCCAACAGGAGAAACGAAGAGCAGGGTGTGGGATTAAAAAAGAGAGATGAAAATGAAACTCAGTCATATTATCCTAATCTTGCGAGTGTCATTCAGTTTCAAAAAAAAAAAAGGAATCTTGCAAGTGTCATTTCCAAGTGTGCGTTAAGAAATCAAATTGTTTGTTAGATTGATCATTTTGTTTGAACATTGTTATTGAAATAGATTTCTATATTAGCAAATTTGAATGTTATGTAATTTGAATTCTAATTTTTTTAGGATAAGATGTGCATATTTATTGCCAGGTTAGCTTGAATTATGGAGAAATGAATTGATTTATACCAAAAAATGTGCCACGTGGGCTCCTCGTTTATCAAATTTGGACACCAGTTAATTAGATTTAGACCTGTAACAAATTTGATCTAAGCTCTCCAGGGAAACCAAGTCTAGATATCTCAACCATTATGATCGTTCTTGAAGTATGTTTCTGATCTATCATTGTGAAGCCTGTTATGGGTTAAAAGATTTAATGAAAATTTATACAGGGTTTGCACCTTATGAAGATGTTGAACTAAGGTTTGGGTTAAAGGGGAGGTTTTGGTTGGGTTAGGGCAAGGTTTAGGGGAGGCTCTAGGGTTTCTAAAAGGGTTAAAACTCCTTGGAATTTTCTAGTACGGTCGAAGGGTGGCAAGATGGATTCTAGGTTGAATTAGTGCAAATCTTGGGTTTGAGAGTGGGCATGGATGATGGGTTTTTGGAGGTGTTGGTTGGCTTATTAGTATCCATGAATGGTTGTTTTAGAAGGGGACAAGAAGGATGATGAATTTGGCTGTGGACAATGTTTGTCTAGGCGACCCTAACAGAGCCGTAGGGGGTTTGGGTCCTCTAGGAGGTTGTGCGAAGTTTGGGTTGGATACTAAACCCCCCAACTGAACCTAAAAGTATATTAAAAAAAAAAAAATGTAAATAGTTAATTACATGCATGAGTTTGAAACTGAACTAATAGAAGTCAAAATCTTTAGAAGATTGAAACTTGCCCAAAACTCAATACAAGATCATATGGATCATTAAATAGTTACATAAACAATATGTCATTACATGCCAATATGTGCCATAATCAATCCATGCTCCATAATCCACGTTGAACATCATATATGAAACAAAAACTTCCTACTCACAAGAGTCCAAACTCAGAACACATAAAGCAAGAAAATGAAAATATGATATATGTTCCAATCTTGAAGAAATCTCATAAATCTATTTTCTTGATTAGGCGGTACAATGGGCTGGGTGACTTGGCCCAGCCCTAAAAAACTAGGGTGTGGGCTACAAAATATGGCCCATGGGCTAGGGCCAGGGCCTCGTTAGGCCCCGCCTGGGCGAGCTATGTCAGGGCTTTTTTGGCCACTGGCCCGATCACTGCTGGGCCAGGCCAGGCCAGGCTAGGCCCAGGCCGGCCCTATGGAGACCAAGGCCAAGGCCGGCCAGGTCCATTGCCAGCCCTTTTGTTGATGTGTTTCTCTATCTTAAAAGTGAAACAGAAGAGTTTTTGGGGGTTGAATACTCCCCAAAACCCTTTTTTCCCATTTATTTATTTATTGATTTTTTTTTTCATGGGGGGGAAGGGGAGCGGGGTGTTGGAATGACTTTTTTGCCTTTGCCCGAATGCTTATGATTTTTGTTACACACTTAAGTTGTTGAGTGCATGTTTTCTAGATTAAGGTAAACGCAAGTGACGAGTCCCAATGTTTTCAATTGTTTCTTTTGTAGAAGTGACAAGCCATGAAACTGATACTATACAAGTGAAATTTCGGTTGCCTATCACGGTTCTTAGTTCTGAAATGTATGTCCGTTTACTTTTCTGAGGGAGATATAGGTGCTATGTCATATGAACTTGGTAGCCTGGTCCTATTATCCATTGCAAAACTTGAAACATATTTTGATATTGAACCATGACTGAATGGAGATGGATAGTGATGGAAGGTCCACCACTGGGTTGTGTCCTATGCCAGTTGAATCGTCTCTCATTCCATCACTTTTCCCATCATTATAATGGACAATCATGATTTCAATGAGGATATAATTTTGCATAGCCCAATGTTTTAGGGTCTAAGATCCTAGTTGGTCCTTCATATAACTTGTGTAGATGCTGATTTCTTTTGACAGTTATTATCTAGCTTTCTTTGCATCCAAAATTTGTGGTTTTCTCTTGCTCTATTGAAACGTTGTTAAATTTGCATGGTCGCTGAGCGTGTGATATTGTAATTCAGGTGAAACGGTATTTTGAGTACGAGGATGTGAATGGCACAGTAAATGAGATTTGGAGACAAGTCTCTATGAAGCTTCCACAAATCAAATTGATGATTAACCGTGAGAAGCGCCTTGTCAAGAGAAATATGACCAGTCCAGATTGCTCATGTGTTTGTTCAAATCACAGCTCTTCCGTTGGCCCTCTTTTTTGATACCCAAGTATTCTTGACAATTGTCCCTGCTCATTAACTCTCGGAGCAAATTCCTTTATTCTTTGCCCACTCAAAACCTTTGCATGATGAATGACTCACAACAATGGTGGCCCATAAGCAATTTGGAGTCTTCGCCTCAAAGAATAAGGTAAGAGTGGCTGTTGACAATGGTCCCTCCTTTGTTTAGATTTTTTTTTTTTGGCCACCAGCTTTGTGTGGTCGATTAAATCCAAATATATTTGTAATCGGTATCGATCTGTATAGAGAAAATGTATGCTTGATTGCTTGTGAATTACCTTTGTAACATGGATACATTAGTATGCTCATGCTGCATCTACAATTTTGAGAGTTCTTCATGCACGCATATATATATAATCTAAAGTTAACAACCCTTCAAATTACAAAAGTTAATGATAGAATATGGATAATCTAAAGTTCACAACCTTTCAAATTACAAAAATTAATGATAGAATGAGTTGTGAATGGTGGATTTACTAATTTTGTAATTTTTTTTTTTTAAATGTTATTTTTTGTGATATCTTTCTCATTAAGTAAGAGTATATTTATAAGGGAAAGGATCTTATCAACCCACGGGCTAACAGCTACAGTGTCAGCTAATGGCACATATTGAATTTGAGTCGATCTAACGGTCACAATCTCATTTCGAATTTGAATTTTTAGTTTTTTCTACAAATCTAAATCACTTGAAATTTGGAGTATCTATTTTTTTTAAAATAAGAGAATATAATAAAAATAATAAAATAAATAATAAATAAATAAATTAGTAATATAATAACTTAAAATATTTTGGAGGTATTTTGGTCAATTTATGTTTTGTGAATTATTTTTTATATTTTTATTAGACGTCTTCATGAGAAGAATGAATACCTGAAATTTCAAGCGATTTAGATTTGTAAAAAAAATAATGAAAATTCAAATACGAATTGAGATCGTGACCATCAAATCGGCTCAGATTGCATATGAGCTATTAGCCGACACTATAGTAGTCATCCGGTGGGTTGATAGAATCCATTCTTTTTTTATAAATATCACTACGAGACAATGGATAAGTTTGTCATCTTCAGAACGGGTAAAGTTGAAATTTTTACTAAAGAGCAAGCGCACTCTATAAATAAAGTTCCTGGACACTAATTTTCAAAATGTTATTGTGTTTTTGTAAAAATTTCAAAGTTGTTCTTGTTTTGTAGTTAAGTTAACTATTAAAATATTTTTTTAAAATAAAAAGTAATGATCTTTTGATAAATACACTCATCGCAATCCCTTATATCATTAACCTTTCTATTTTACCTTTCTATCATTAACCCTTGTATTTTAAAGAGTTGTTAACTCTAGTCCAACCCAATTGGAACTGTGAGATTTAGTTTTTTCTTTTTTTTTTTTGTAACTAGCTAGGTTTCACGTAGGCATGCCAATGGGACATGGACTTCGGGTTATCGGAGTGGTTCTTCCCCCTAGCAAGTTCGTCGGTCTTGTAGTAAACGTAGTCAAACCTCTTTGTTCTCAATAGGTAGGGAAGAGGGTCTACGGGTTTCTTTTAGCTTTAGGGGTGGCAATGGTCCTGGATCTGACCCTGGACGTGACTTGGGTTCATGTATGGGCCTAAAACGAGTCAAACATTATTTGGATTTGGGTTCTAGGTCTAGGTCCATGTAGACCCGATCGAACTCAATCTGAATAGTTATGCTATCTAAATAATAATTTAATATATGATATTTAAATAAATATAACTATACATTTGTAGTTATAATATGTAAATAATGTATATATATTTAAAGTATTTATGAAATGTATTTAAATATATAGATATTTTGATTTTTGGATTGGATATACGTTTGGGTCTGGGTCCAAGCATTATATTTTTAGTTCCGGGTCAGGGTCTGGGGACTATGGGCCCGTCCAGTCTGCATATGGCCGGACGTAGGCACCCCTATTTAGCTTAGTTGTAGTCATTGTTTTCTTAAGCAAAGAAGTAAACAAGTGCAGCTAAGTCACTTTTGGGGGAAGGGTTTTAAAAAATTGATTGAAGTGGATTTGGCTTCTTGGGCAAGGACTTACAGGGATGGGTCTTTGGCTCTCAAATGAGTTGCAATTTTTCGATCATTTGACCGATCTTCCCTATTTTTTTTACTCATTTTTAACAAGTTTCATGGGGGACTACTCAAGTCTCCAAAACTTGTATATCCAAGCGGGGGTTTAAAGGGGTATATATGGTTAAAGACGGATCATGTTTGTTTTGCATGAAATATTTTCACGTGAAAGAATTTCATTATGTAGTTTTCATACTAATTGGTCCGAGTGTTTCTTTTTATATCAATTGGTAGCTAACTTGTGTGAAAATATTCTACAACTAATTACATGAGGGAATTTTTTTATGTGAAAGTATTTTTTGAAAAATATTTTCACGTGAAACAAATGTGTAGAGATTCAATGTTTAGTTCAAAATCTTAAGTGGTTAGGGTTCAGAGAGTTATGTAGGGTAAGGGATTTGTTTAGGGTATCTATGGTAGTTAAAACTAATAACGGTAGGGGTCGTTTAGTTAAAATTAAAATAATTGCTAGAAATGTTTTTCAATTGAGGTTGCATATGTTTGGTTTGTACTTTTAAACACGAAATATTTACCATAAAATGATTCTTTTTCATGTGAAAAGAAGTCCCTAACTCAGGTGTGGAGAAAATTAGGTGGGGTTATTTTTCTCATGGAAAATTGTTTCATGTGGGTTGGACCGCATTTCTACATATACGATCCAAAAAGTGTAGAGCATCCATCTTAAAGATGGATGCAAGTAGGCATTCCATCTTAAAACAATGGAAATTAACGGTCCAAATGCTTTTTTACTAAAATTATTATTTTTAAATTTTTAAATTTATTTATATTTTCATATTCATGATCTCCATGTTAGAGATTACATGTCCTTAGAGATTAAGTCTTAAAATCCATCTCAAAAATATATTTATTAAGAGGCTCACATTTCTACATATGCGGGCTTGGCCGCATAGAAACTAGATCCTTTTCTCATTGCACTTGAATTAAACTATTTCAAAATTTAAGTTTTAAATAGAGAAACTATCTCGAAATTTTTAGAGAAAGAAACTATCTCAAACATCAATTTTTTAGAGAAACTATATCAAAACTTTTAGAGAGAAATTATCTTAAAATTTTTTTAAAAAGAAGTTTTTAGAGAGAGAATGCATCTTAAATTTCAAAATTTTTAGAGAGAGAAGCCATTTCAAATTTCAAAATTTTTAGAGAGAGAAACTATCTCAAATTTTAAATTTTAGATCGAGACCATCCCAAAATTTTTACAGGGAAAAATAATACTCAAAATTTTTAGAGAGAGAAAGTATCTCAAATTTTAAATTTTAGATAGAGACTGTCCCAAAATTTTTAGAGGGAAAAACCATATCAAATTGCAAATTTTAGATAGGGAAATTATCTCAAAATTTTTTGAGTAGGAAACCATCTTAAATATTTTATAGAGATAAATTATCTCAAATTTCAATTTTTTTTTTTTTGGGTGAGTTAGTGAGGAGAGGGGCCCTACACTTCGTAGGAATTGAGCCTAGGATGTAGCGTTGCAAATCGTCAAGCGCTAACCAATCAAGCCCTATCTCAAATTTCAAGTTTTTAGAGGCAGAAACTATCTCATAATTTTTAGTTTTAGATAGAGAAGCTATCTCATAATTTTTAGAGAGATAAATTATATTAAATTTTAAGTTTTAAAAGCTATATCAAATTTCAAATTTTTAGAGAGAAACTATCACAAGTTTTTAAGAAAAATTATCTCAAATTTCAAGTTTTATGGAGAAACATTAAGAAATTTAGAGGACAATATTTATGTAGAATTCTCTGCACCCCATAGAGAGGGATGAGGGTTCTATTTATAATTGTTATGTACTCATCCTTGATTGACTCAATCAAAGGTACAATTACAATAAATTTGTACAGATACGAAAGAGATTACAATATATCATTATCATTATCATTCTCTAGATATATCATTATCATCATTCTTATTACTCCCCCTTGAACTATTGCCAATGTGAACATGGACAACTTGTTTGCTACCGAACGATGTTGTGAAGTAAGAAGACCTTTTATAAAAATATCAACAAGTTGTTATGTAGTTGAAGCATAATTAGGAGTAAGCTATCAACTTTCAACCTTTTTTCGAATAAAATGATAATCCAGTTCAATATGTTTGGTTTGTGCATGAAGAATTGGATTAAAGGTAAGTTTAATTGCACTTTGGTTATCACAACATAAAATTGCATGTTAAATTCTTATTCCCAATTATGATAGAATGTGGCGGTACCAAGTGATTTCAGCAACTGTAAAAGACATTGTTCGATATTCTGCTTTTGAACTTAGGCGTGAAACAGTCTTTTGCTTTTTACTGCTCCAAGACACTAGAGATCCTGCAAATAAAATACAAAATTCAGATACCGACCTGTATTCTATTTCTCAGCTTTCTTCATAAAGGGATCCACAACGGAAACTAATCTTGCTGGGTTATCTCGCAATAAGATAGACTCATGTTAGTTCTCAAGTCCTTTGCTCTGCATCGTTTATCATTCTTTTCGTTTTACTGCTAATTGTGACATTTCTTTTGAGTTGTTTGTCAGTTAAAGCTAAATGGTGGGATCTAATGACATTGGGCATCTCACTTATGATCAAATTTGTTATGCTACAGGGTGTGAGTAAAACTAGAGTACATCCTAATAGATGCACGGATCAAGGATTAACTAGTTAATTTCTACCGTGATTTAAAAGTTGGTCTATTTCTACTACAATTTGATCCTTTTTGAAAGCTCTAATCGAGGATGGAAGCTGAGGACTGCCCCAATCAGAGGATCCAGCAAATGAGTGATTGGTAGAAGCGGAGGACACACCACTCGATAGGAGGACATTTCTAGAAGTGAATAGGCCTCATGAGAAGGAGCAAGGTGTGAACCATTAGGCAAGAGGAAGAAAAGGTGAACAAGGGAAGATTGAGGCCTTGCGGCAGTTAGAGACATAAGAATATTGATGTTTCGTCAGGTATTCGAGAGACCATAGCTGGTCGGAGATATCAGAGCAGATATATCAAAGGATATACGAAACCATTTACATAGAAGTTCGGCATAAAAGACCTTGAGTGAATGACCCAACAGCAGCAGGGTGGGGATGAGCACCGGTTAAGCACAGGTTAAGAGTAGGGTAAACTATGCCACACTCTCATGTCAAGTGATAAAGCACATAAAATTTTGCTGGTTCCTAAATCTCAGAACTTATTCCTCCACCAATTTTATTGAGTGAGTTGAATTTGAGTTATCTTTCCTTTATTTTGGTTCTAGATGATATGTTTTGACTAAAATTTTGTACATTTGATTGTTCCTATAGATGTAATTATTTTGAACTGTGAATTGACTGTCTCATATAGGAACCATACTTTCAGTATTTAAGCATTTTCAATAATTTCATCAAAATAACTAACATGTTCACTCATTCTTTTCATAAACACAAAAATAAAATTTCAAAAATATTTCACAATTTTTTTTTATTTTTTCGAGCGTGGCTTGGATTAAGCCGATTTGCCCAAATTTGGCTGGGTACATTGAATGACTAATTTGGATCTTGATTCCATGTTTTTCAATGCTGGGTCTAGGTTTTAAAAATGGGAATCAAACCCAGACGGACACAGTGATTCCCAAGGAAGATAATTGGAAGGATATAATAAAAAATAAAAAAACTTCCAAATAAAAGAAATCAAGTGATTTTAAGGCTCAATGGACCGGGCCTGCCCTGGCCCTTAGCACAACCTACCTTGAATCGGGAGGCTCTAGCCTAGCCCTATCCAAGCCAAACTTAATAGACCTGAAGACTGCTAAAAAATGAAAAATAAGACAAAAAAAGGGCCTAGACGGTCCAATCGCGACGTAACCCACGCTCGGCCTGGCTCGACCCTAGGCTGTAGTGACTTGGCCCTCAAGCTACATTTTGTGGCCCAATCCCTTTTTTCTAAAGGCCAAGCCTACATGGCCGGGCGAGGCTGCCTAGCCCTTTGCCAACCCTACTTTTGAGATCATCAGCATAAAATCTAACGCTTGTCTCGAGTGGTCTCGACAATTCTTAAAAACCCTTCCCCACCCTAAGACATCGAAGTGTTGTCCGGATCACCTATCCAAATGAGAACTGATCAATTTTAAATCTGTTTTAAGATGGTACGAGAACTTATTGCTTTCAAATAAGTTCTAGGATGGTAGAATTCATGGCCCCATCCCCCTAACCCCTAGACTTTGTTTTTGGGAGCTTGTCCAATAGTTTCTTAAGTACCCTTTAATCCTCACCTCCTATTCTTTTTTTTTTATATTTTTTGTATTTTCTTATTTAAAATAGTTTTTATATCAGTAATTCAGATCAATCTGATCCGGATAACAAATCTAGTGATGGGACATATTTTACGGGTGAACGATCCACGTCATCCATATTTTATTTTTAAAACACTGCTACTTACGGGTAAAAATTTATTTGTGAATTGAAGGGCAATTCATTCATAGCGGGTTGGTTGCCTTTGCGTAGCGGTCGATCCAAAAGCCCCCAACAAAAAGAAACATCGCCCGCTCTCCGCCTCTCAGCGGCGATAAGATCCACCCCGCCTCCCCACCACAAATCCCCATCTCTTTTTCTCTCTACTCTTGCCACTCATGACAGAGAATCAAGCGAATCTCCTCTAAAAAAAAAAAAACCCTCTGTCTCTCTCTCTCTCTACTGGACTCTAGAGAGAGAAAGCAGCCGACCTTCCAACCTCCAAATTTCTCTCCGCTCGACTTAGAGATAGAGAGAAGTAGCAGAGTGAGATAGTGTGTGTCCAGAGAGAGAGTGGTGCAATGGCTACCATAACCTCCCCCGCTACACTCTCCCGCATCGCTCCTGGCTCGCGCCTCCACTGCTCCACCTCTCGCCTCCCATCGACTTCGGGCCTCCGAATGCCTTTAGATGCTCGCAGGCTGGGTTTCTCGGGCAACGGTGCTAGCATCGCCTCGCAGAGGCTTTTGAAGGCCTGCGAGATGGTGTGCGGTGGGCGTCGAGGTCGCGGGCCACGTGGGGTGGTGTCCATGGTGAAGAAGAGTGTGGGGGACCTCACTGCCTCTGATTTGAAAGGGAAGAAAGTGTTCGTCAGGGCTGATTTGAATGTTCCTCTTGATGACAATCAGAATATCACCGATGATACCAGGATTAGGGCCGCAGTTCCCACCATTAAACATTTGATTGGAAATGGGGCGAAGGTTATTCTTTCCAGTCATCTGGTATGTGTTTTTTTTTTTTGTTTCTCTTCTTGGTTTTTGTTTTGAATTATTTTCAATTATGGTTGAGATTAAAATTGAGTGTGTTCGATTTTATGGGAAAGTTTGGGGTTAATTGCGATTGTTTTTTTTTTTTAAATTGGTTTGGGTTAGCAGTGCTGCATTTGATCATTGGTTGAAGGTTTGGTTATGTGGAATTTTGGCATGCTGAATTTTGATTTTCCTTCCTTTCGTGTTTACTGAGGTTAATTGAGGGTTAAGTTGTTGCATTTAACAATGGAGTTGACTTTTGATTTTGTGAAAATTTGTACTTGGTTAATTTGGAATCAAGTTGGTGTTGTTTTGATCTATTTTCCGCATCATATTTCTGTAATTTCAAGGGATTCTGGTGTTGTGTTGTTGCCGTGGGGTTTTTTCATCCTTTTCATTGCTTTTTCTGTGAGAAAGATACAATCAAATACAGGAAGCGTTCAGTTTTCAGGTGGTTATAACTTGGGCTTCTTTCTATTTGGTCTTTTAATATTCTTTTCAATGTTTTGATGTGATTTTTCAGTATTGTTGTTGATTCCTAGGTTGTGATTCTGGGGGCATGTTAATCTTTTTTTAAAAAGGTAATTGAGTTACCTATGGGGAAAAAAACAATAAATTTGGGGTAATTGACTGTTTATAGTTCACTTTTTTTTTTTTTCAAACACAACTCCCATTTTTAAATTATTAAAAAAATTATAATTGAAGAAAAAATTATTGAATTTCTATTTAAGGTATATTTGATATGCATTATCTACATAATATATACATTGCTCACTAATTAAAGTGAAGTATCTTGGTTTTTCCCTTCGATAAATTTTTTCATATGACCATCGACTCTTTCTTTGTTTGTTAGAAAATGCGCCCTTGCTACATTAGTATACCACCATTCCAATAAGTAATTCAGGTTTTTTTCAGTACAATTCTCAATGGCCATTTGAGAATCCCTATTGAGTTATTGTTGGTTATACATAGTTGTTATCATATTTTAAAAACTTAGGTCGTACAATGCTCTTGATTTTTGGATGAAATCTTATTTTTATTAAATTCGATAAATTTAAAGTGAAAATGCCATCAACTGTATCCAGTAACCATCCTTTGCGATAAATTCATAAGCTTTTTTCTGTTTTGTTATCCTCTTTCAGATTGGGTATTTCTCAAAAATGGAATTTCAGACCTAAGATAGTGTTCTTTGGTTTTTCAGGGGCGTCCAAAGGGTGTCACCCCTAAATACAGCTTGAAACCTCTTGTTCCTAGACTATCAGAACTTCTTGGTGTCACGGTATGCTCATTTCTTTCTCTTCTCTTGATTTGTGGAGATACTCTTGATCTTTGGAGATGCATGCAAATCATTGTGTATCTGCTACTGTTTGATATGCCGACCCCAATTAGTTGGGAAAAGGCTGTGATGATGATGATTTTCTACTTGTTTATTTTGTTTACTCAATTTGTGATGACTGACCAGGTTGTGAAGGCTGATGACTGCATTGGTGAAGAAGTCGAGAAACTTGTCGCTTCGCTTCCTGATGGGGGTGTTCTACTTCTTGAAAATGTGAGATTTTACAAGGAGGAAGAGAAGAATGAACCTGAGTTTGCAAAGAAGCTAGCTTCACTTGCTGATATCTATGTCAATGATGCATTTGGAACCGCGCACAGAGCACATGCATCCACAGAGGGTGTAACAAAATTCTTGAAGCCGTCTGTTGCTGGTTTTCTTTTGCAAAAGGTACAATTTTGGGTTTCAATTATTCATCTAGAATTACAGAAGCTATCTGTTGACATAAATTTATAATTGGCAATGCCTCTTTGCTTTGTTTTTCCCCGGCACATTTTTGGTACCACCGTTATTGATTTGGCTTATCAACACATCTTTTTCTTTTTAAGTTGCAATGCGGTCTAAATCATGTTATAGCTACTTTTCTTGGTGAGGTGTTGTTTCTGTTATTTACCCAAAAAGAGGTTTTGTTTCCATTTTTCTGAGCTCTCATCATGTGACACTGATGTTCATTGCAGGAGCTTGATTATCTTGTAGGGGCCGTTTCAAACCCTAAGAGGCCATTTGCTGCCATAGTAGGTGGCTCAAAGGTCTCATCCAAGATTGGGGTGATTGAGTCTTTGCTTGAGAAGTGTGATATCCTTCTGTTGGGTGGTGGAATGATCTTCACATTTTACAAGGCCCAAGGTCTTTCAGTGGGTTCATCCCTTGTAGAGGATGACAAGATTGATCTTGCTACTTCCCTTCTTGAGAAGGCCAAGGCCAAGGGGGTCTCTCTCCTCCTACCAACTGATGTTGTTATCGCCGACAAATTCGCACCTGATGCAGAGAGCAAGGTCAGCCTGTCCTTTCTTAAACCTCGAAACACTCTAAAAGAATAAACAAGAAGGGGGAAAACACAAGTTAGTCTAACTATTAGAAGAAACTAGTAAAATAAAATAAAATGGGCTTAATTTTTCAAGTGGAATAAATGGACTTTGACCAAATGATTGTGGTTTTTGTGCAGATTGTGCCAGCATCTGGCATACCTGATAGATGGATGGGGTTGGATATTGGACCTGACTCCATCAAGACATTCAGTGAAGCATTGGACACTACCCAAACGGTCATTTGGAATGGTCCCATGGGAGTGTTTGAGTTTGACAAATTCGCAGTTGGAACTGAGGTACGCTGTTTTTAGGAACATGTAGTCTTAGACTGATGCCTTTTCTTTTGTTCATTTATCAAGTTCTTTAATCATTGAAGAAAAAAAGAAGCATGCATGGAAAACATATATAATTTTACTCGGCTCCTGAAAAGGGGAAATTGTGTAGTTTTTCTTCAATGTTTTAGAAACCAGACCATGTCATCATTCTCCTGCTTTGAGAACATTGGTTTATTTATTGATAAATGAACAATGCAAAGTAATTTGGCAAACTTGAAATTGTGCGCAGGCCATTGCCAAGAAGTTGGCAGACCTTAGTGCTAAGGGTGTGACCACAATAATTGGCGGTGGAGACTCAGTTGCAGCTGTGGAGAAAGTTGGGGTGGCTGAAAAAATGAGCCACATTTCAACAGGGGGTGGTGCCAGCTTAGAGTTATTGGAAGGGAAGGCTCTTCCTGGTGTTTTGGCTCTTGATGAAGTTGTACCTGTCGCTGCTTGAGTTGAGAAACCTTCCCCTCCTCACCGTTCTTTTGTTCTTTTTTTTGTTTTTGTTTTCTCCTTTTTTTGTTTTTGGTTAAGCTTTTGTAAAAGCTTCTTTTCAGTGTTTATGAGCTTAGAATGGCATGCTGTAATTCAGAGTTCGGAATAATAATCGAAGGATATTTTTCATGAGTGCATATTCCATATTTAACATGGTGTTCTCTATGATACTTCATATCCATTGAAATATCCCTGCTTATGGGCTAAAAAGAAAACCCTAGAAGCTGCCTCTTAAGCTCTTTCCAGAATCAATCTATGCAACAGAAAAAACAGAAAAAAAAGGGGGGAAGTTCAAGGTTATTGGACTAACTGATTATCTGATGGAGGTGGTTAAAAAACTAAATTTATTGACCCATGTGGTAAATGATTTGAGAATTGTGATTGGTACAAATGCCATATTTTGTGGTTCATGTTTCTTATTTTGGTGGCTCTGGGTGAGATGGACCCAACCACACTCCCTTACCCCATCAAAGATCCCCCAACTTAATCATTAAGACCGGTCAATTTATTTCCTCTCTCGCTACATGAAAATGGCAAAATGTCCACCACTATAGAGACATCTGAGTCACACGTCGACACCCTCTACGGCTGTTGGGCCACAAAAAAAAAAAATTGAATATCAATTATTTTAAAAAAGTCTGGTTTATGTTTCATAGAAGTGTATACCAATTATTTTTTTTGATGCAAGGTCAAAATCATTATTGATCATTAGATTTGAAATCAAGTGGTTGAGAATTTGTCATTGTTTAGACACAAGTTCAAAACAAAATTTCTCCAATGTTGTGACATCTTTATGGAAACAAAATAAAGCCGCACCTCAAATTCTTGTCTGTAAAGCACTTTCGGCAATTGAAATCTAGATGATGGTTCTAAAATCAATTTCCAACGATGACAATAAAATTTGAAACTTAAAAAATGGTACAGATCTTGTGGATGTGTGAATACTTATTTTTAAGGCGAAATTGATGGTTTATAAAATTTTCTTACAATTTACATTATTTTTAGAGCTTGAAATTCTAATTTTTTTTCTACAACCATAATGTTCAAGTCGAGATGATTGATGTAAAGGTTTTTTAATGCTTGACTTGTGATTTTAGATGAGTTAGGAGGTGAGGTTTTACTCAGTATAATACAGCTAGAGCCCTATCAAATTATTTTTCAAAAATAAATAGTCAATATATAATCTTATTTTTTATCCTATTCCCAAGTCTCACTTTTTTGTTTTTTGTTTTTTTTCCACGCTTAACGTATTTCAGGTTTAGACATCCAATACCCAAATTGTGATCTTTTTATTTTGAGAGCGAACGGCTTGGATGTCTCGACTCAATTTTCAACAAGTGACTTGATTTTAAACATCAAAATCGATAATAGTTATCTGAAGCTATATGTTAACAAAAAGAGTTATGTTAGGGTGCTTACATCATAGAGCAATTTATGATTATACTCGAAGAATTTTGGACCTTATTTATCTTTGTTTGGTACATAGAGCACTTTTTAGTAATAGCATTTTTCGTCATTAAGAAAGGTATGACATCACTCACATGGAGCATTAAATATCACTAGTGTACTCGATATGGGCGATGTCACATTCTATGTTGATGATGTCACACCTTTCCTAATAACTAAAAATACCATTACTAAAAAAATGCTCCATATACAAAACAATGATATATAAATGTTCAAAATTTGTTGAGTACAATTATAAATTGCTCTATAGTGTGAGCATCCTAACATATTTTTTGAAAGAAGTACGTTGTAGCTATTTCATTAAGATAATAAAAGGACTACAAGAAACCAAAGAAAAACAGAAAAAGGAGAGGCCTAGGCTAAACAACCACGAACTAAGATGTAGCCGCTTTAGTAAGGCAATCTATATCTGAATTGTAGCCCCTCTTAACATGAACAAAAGAGCACTCGCGCAACCTCAAAGCTAGAATAATAGCATCCATAATACCAATGAGATTCCACGTCATAAAGTCTTGGCTTGGTGCACCATTTGATAACATTCACTGAATCACCTTCAATAATCACTTTGGAGTGGCTATTGGCTAGACGTTCCACTCCCATCTTAAGAGCCCAAAGATCTGCCACATTGATTTCACAGGAATGTAGTCTTCCCTAATAAGACCAGATAGTTGTACCCAAGTTATCCCTCAAAAGTCTGCCATACCCACTAACATTACCACGAACATGTCCGTCGAAATTCAGCTTGAACCATCCCACCGGAGGCTTAAACAAGGAACAGTTTAACCTCCTACGAGGCCTCTTCAAGAAGATAATATAATGGAAATTGGGGAAGATAAGGTCTTTGGGGAAGGAAAGCACCGGGAACACCCACTTGCCTTCACAGGTTTCGATCTTTGAGTTCAGGTTTCGAGTTGGAAGGCTTATAGGGCAGGTTACTAGTTCCTATTCTTGGGCCGAGTGTTAAGCTTGCTGGTTTGAATAAGCTCTGTAGTATACGAGCCAGACTAGCTTGTTGTTATATACTTACCACTCGCTGCCTAATGTTCGGCCTAGTTGTTCTATTGGGATTTGGAGTTCCTGTCCTCTTGCTGTCATGTCGATAGAGGAGTTGATTCTTGATTCGAGTACAGACATAGAGACATGTCAAGTAGAGCCTTCAGAACTGGACTCCACTGGTTTCGAGATAGGTTTCCCTGCGGGTAGTAGGAGTTTGTCTTCGGCTTTTTAGTATTCACTCCTAGTTTGTGTGCACCACGAGATAGAGTATCTCTTTATGGACACAAGAAGAGAATCCAGATTTTTGGATCGTCCCTCAAAGGTACACAAATTTCATTCTTTCCAAAGACTACATAGGGCAGCCGCCACTACCAGTCGCAATGGAGCAACACCTAAGGTCGAGAAGGGTGGTGTCTAGATCTATTGCATCAATTTCAAGATACTGAGTGAACGAGGGGTATGCCAATTGGAGATAGTGCTCAACCAATCCCAAAGGCTTTCAGTGAAAGAGCATCTCAGAAAAAGATGGTATGTGGTCACTTCATCATTTTTGCAAAATAAACAAACCCTCGGCAAGCATAAGCCCAATCTTCTTAGCCTGTCACTTGTTAGTAATCATCTGTAACACAGCAAACATAAGAACTATTTAACCTTGCTCGGGCTCCTACATCTCCAGAACTTGGCTAGATGGCCATAACTTTGAATGTAACGATCTCTGAATCGCACATTATGCAAATAAGAAACAGAGAAAGTGCTAGAAGGCTCTAGGGATCAAATAATTCTATCACGCTTTCGAGGCAGAAAACAAAAGTTGTAAAGGGAAGCCATGAGAGAGCTATAGTTATCCACCACATGAAGGTTAGCTCTACGAATATTGAGCATCACGTTCCAAATACGCTTATCTCTATCAAGAGATATAAAATTGGCCACCATGGCTTATTTCTAAACAGATCTAGAGTATAGATCTGGATATAGAAGTTTTAGGGGATAGTCCCCTAACCATTTATCGTGCCAAAATCTAGTGTGTGCTCCATCTCCCACCAACATCTTAGTGTGGCTGATGCCCCGCCATATTGGTGATTGATATAAAGAACTGGAACATGGTTTGGTGGTAAAGCCATCAAGATTGTGACCATACTTTCCATAAATTACCTTGGCCCATAGTTGATCTTGTTGGGCAGCAAGATGCCACTACCACTTGGTCAACAGAGCTTTGTTGACAGCCTTAATTCTCCGAATAGCCAAACCGCCTTTCTTACGTGGTAGACAAACTGAGTTCCAACAAATAAGATGGAAATTCTTTTTCTGTTGGGTGTCACTCTATAAAAAATTCCCCATCACTTTTACAAGTGTGGTACGACCTGCAAAGCTAAGGAATCTACACTTCTAGCTATCCAATTTGTACTGAGCCCGTTGGATGAGGGGATCCCACATAGCTCTTGGTGCTCATCCGTCGAGCAACAGTAACCCCAAGTATTTGGTGGGGAAGTGGTCGACTTCATAATTAAGCCAAGCTGCCCATTGGAGTACTTTAGAATCTTAACATGTGATGTTAATAATGCGAGATTTACTCATATTAATGTGCGCCCAGAAACCAACTCGTATATCTTCAGAAACAACTATACTTTCTAAATATTTTCCATAGACCCTTCGAGCAGCATTAGAGTGTCGTCCGCATACTGAAGGTGGCTTAAAACTAAACCATTCGGCCAAGCCCTTAGGCCATGGACAAGATGAGCATCCACCGACCCCTGAAGCATTTTACTAAATGCTTCAGCAGCTATAGTAAACAGAAAAGGAAGAGTGGATTTCATTGTCGCAGCCCTCGAGAAGCCTTGAAGAAACCATAGGCTTTATTTTTAACAATAAAAGAGAAATGGGCTAATGATAGACACCTGGAAATCCGTAATCTCCATCGTTTCCTAAAACCCATTAATTCCGTGATGGAGAACAGAAAAATCCCACTCTATACGGTCATAAGCTTTTTCAAAGTAAAGTTCCAGGAGAATGCCCTTAATTGACGAAGAGGATGTAGAATAAATGGTCTTTTGTGCAAGGATAATACCATCCTCAATAAATCTCTCTTTAACAAAGGCTATTTGGGGACTTTCAACCACGTCATTAAGAACAGCTCGCAATCTGTTCGCCAGCAGCTCTGCTAAAATCTTGTAGCAAGCAGAAAGTAAACTAATGGGTTTGACATCATGAAGGGACATAATAACTAACTTCTTCAAAATCCAAGAGATCAAAGTGGAATTCATCACTCTACAAATGATACCATCATAGTAGAATTGATTAATCCAAATGAGAATGTCCCCTTTGACCACCTCCCAGAATCTTTGAAGAAAGTGATAGGAAAGCCATCTAGACCATGCGCCTTATCCCTAGGAAGGTCAAAAAGGGCTTTTTTGGCCTCTTCCTCCAAAAATGGAGATTCAAGGCTGGAGGCCTTCTCATTAGAAATCATTTTAAAAGGAATCTATGTCAAATCGAAAGGCAATCTGGCTCCGGATTTAAAAGCCTCCTGGAAGTGTGCTATAATGGCAGCATTCCAAATATCAGTATCATCTTGATTAATACTCGAGATTTCCATTGCACTTAGGCTATTAGTTTGGCATCTAGAGTTCGCAATGGAGTGGTAATACTTGTTATTATTATCTCCCTCTTTGACCCA